TTTGTTTAATAATGAAAAAAAAAAAACCAAAGGTGCTGGGATTTCTGAGTTTTAGCATGGCTTTTCCACTTTGCTCCCCAAATTTGAAGGGTAAAAGCAATGAATAAACACACTGACACCGAGGGTTATGAATTATTCATCTTTTAATTTCACATGGTTTAAAATACGATATGAAATAAGGCTACAGTATATAAAAAACTCTCCAGCAAAATGATGTGCCAGCATCAGCAATTAAAACAAAACCAATCCCCTCCTTCCTTAAGAATTCAATGTAGGAGGGACTTTTTTTTTGTATCCTTTAAAAACAAAACAAAACAAAACAAAACACAACACACGGACACACACACACACATCGCTACATCTCTAAGCTACCTCAGCTCAGTTTTTTTAAAAAGCACCTGCTTTTTCCTTTTTTTTTTTTAATCTCACTTTTAAAATTTTTTTCCACTTTTAAAAAATATAAATTATATGAAAATACAAGTTGGAAAATAGTCGAACAGCACAATATAACAATCTCTTTTTTTTTTTTCTTCTTCTATGTTTATCAGCTTAAAAAAAAATCCCATGTGTAAAAACAAAACAAAACAAAACGAAAGTTTTTTTTTTTTTTTTTTTACTGAGGCAGTTAATTCCTGGAGATATTCCATTATAACATATATGTATACATAGATTTATCATTTCTTTAAACCTCTTTGGAATGTAGACAACAGCTCAGGGATGTTATATAGACCCTACCAGAGAGCAGAGCACGCCAAGGCATCCCAATTTTGCGACGTTAACGAGGAACAAGCAACCAAGCCCTAGTGCCTCGCAGAAAACCCCTCCAGAAGAGCAAGAGCCAGAAGACGGAGACGTTTCCATCAGCATCTGAATTTATCGGTGCTTACGGGGACCCTTTTTTTGGAGGAGGTGGTGGTTTGGAAAGACGCGAGAAGGTGAAAACGGAAAATATCTTCTATTTCTTGCCCTGTTTGGCTGTTTCTCCATCTCAACGATCACGTCTGGAGCGGGACGGTGGTAGTGTGGAAATAAAATGGATCTCCACTCGCACGCACGCGAGTGTCCACAGGTTATGCTCATCCTACACACAGAGATGGAGAGAGACAGGTAGCAGAGAAAGTGCTTGCATTTTTCATCAGGTTTGGGGTTTTTTTTCCCCTTTTTTGAGGTGCCAAATAGCCGCTGTCGCGGCCCCAGAAAGCCGTTTGCAAGGGCTACGTTCCCAAGGTAGGGCTGGGGGGGACCAAGGGGACATGCCCCTGTACGGAGAACAGCACATCATGAGCAGGACACAGAAAATACCTCCTCAAAAAAAATCAACAAAAGCACCCGAGACATTCCAAAACAAGACAAAATTACCCAATTTCCAAACATCATGTGTATCTGGCAAGGGTGAAGCTCACCCCCATGCAGAGAAACCAGCACAGGAGCAAGTCTCATCCCCGGTAGATCTCCGTCATCTCTCTCTAACCCATCCTTCTGGTCCAGCAGGTGTAAGTGGGTTAATTAAATTTTCATGGCCTTAAAGAACAGGAGGTCAGAGGGTTTGGGTTCCAGCACGCCCCTCGCCAAAAGTCAACAGGCAATTAAAAAGCAGAAAGAAAGAAAGAACCAAACCAAAACAAAAAAACAAATCTGCAAATTTCCAGTGTATAAACAGCACACAGCCCTCTCTGGGATGGTCTCTAGAATGGGAATAAAAAGTAAAGGAAAACAGAAGATGATGAACTGGAGGTCCCTAGGACTGCACGGCCCTTCTCCTGCTGCACTTGCACACAGGCTGCAAGCTGGGATGGCAAACGGCCGGGAGAAATGACGGAGAAGCTCCAGTCGGGGGCTACTTTCAAAAAACAGAGCTGCTTTCCATGACTCACCCTTTCTAACCTTTAAACCCTCTTCCCAAAATCACTGGGAACACACAGGTTCAGCCTAGAAACCTGGAAAAAATAAGCATGGCAGAGTGGATGAGGGATTTAGCCTGGCAGAAGGATGGGGTTGGTACCTGAACTGGTGGTTCCTTCTGTCAGAGGGAAATTTCATCCCTTTTTTTTTCTTGAAAAAGGCACTTCAGCTGCAGTGGAGCACCCGAGCAAAGCAGGAGACATGTCCTGGGATATAGCATGGTGCCAAGGGCAGGAGATGGGCGCGGGGCCTCCTGGCAGCACCCTTTCTAAGGGTGTAAGGGGATTTTTCAGAGCACTGCTAGAAGTGGCCTCCGAAGGGCAAGCTAAGGGCACTTTGCAGCTGCATGCAAGAGAGCAACCCTGCACGCCTAAAAAAAAAACCACCCCATTGCTGAAAATCCAACCCATACGATGTGTCCTGTCGGGCTGCTCTTTAACTACTCCTCCCCTGCACACGTCTGTGCCGTCCCATCTTGCCTGACTCCCTTTTCAGCCCGCTCAGCGGCTGCGGCGAGCCTTGGATCTGCGGCAGAGCTCTGTCCCGGTGCTTCGTCGTTTGGGTGGGCCTCATCCACGAGATCTGTTTTCCCTTCCTCACTCCAGCTCGGCCAAGCTGCTTTCTCCCATCCTCCCTGTCTGCCCGAGGAGACGAGCTGAAGTTTAACTTCCCAGTGGGCAGAGTCCCTTTCCTCCTTTGGTGCATGCTCCTTTCACCTTCCCTTCATCCCCTTTTCCTTCCTTTCCGTCCATCCCACTCTTTTCTTTCCATACGCTCGGCGGGACGATGCACAGCCCCAGCCCCGTGAGCTAACAGCATAACTAATAACTTCTCTTACCTAAACCACCATCTGTTTCCATCCCCCTCGGCTGGAGCTCCCTCTTGGCCCACTCACTTCTCCTCCACCATCCCCTTTTTTTAAACACGCAGCAGTTTTGGGGCTGACTTGCCCCAAAATGACCAACTGGGGATACCGAGGTGCTGGGTACCCCCAGCTGTGGAGGAAGCAGGGGAGAGCCCAGCACCCCAGGGCTGAGCTCCCCATCCGACACTGCCTCTGTGCAAGGGGGGTTACGTGCCCAAATATTTCGGCTCTTTGCACGCAGAGTCCTGTCCTGCCGACCCCATACATCAGCCTGTATCAGGCAGCATCACCCGGCGAGCATCTCTGGAAAGTTTCTCCCCACCTCGCCCCCTACTCCTGTCTCACAGTGCCTCTGTAATGAACACAACTACCTAAAACACACAGACGGACAGACAAACAACACAAAAAGAAGGTACTTTTGGTTCAAACGCGTAATACTGTCTTTAAAAACAAAACACTCAGTGGCTCTCAGGGGTGAAAGACCCCGTTGGGCAGTCGGATCCACACAGATCCGGCTTCGGAGTCATATCTGGATAGGGAAAGGCTCACTGCCCGATCCTCTAAATCACACCGAGCCCACCCCAAAGGCGGTCGTCAGCCTCAGGCTGCTCGGAGCATCCCGGGAAGTGCTCGGTGCAGCAGGATTTACCCCTCTGAAGGCAAACCAGTTGCAAAAAGTCTGGAAGACAGATGGAGCAGCTCCCCTCGGGACCGATCCTGCAACCGTCTGGGGCAAGCACATGGGACCTCTCGTTTACCCCGGCGTCACCGGTCATATGCTTCATGTTAATCACACCCTGCCAGGGTTTGCAGGATCAGGCTTACAAAGAGCAGTAAAGAACCCATTTGCAAGGACAATTTCCTTTCTGCGTGTGCCCAGGCTGGTTAAGACATACAGCAATAAAGATAGAGCTGGTCAAAACAGGAAGGAAAAAACATTTCCCTTTGGTTTTTCAACTTTTTCCCGATTTTTTTCCCCCCAATCAACTTGTACATTTTCCATTCGCCACATTCAAAACACGGGAATTTCTCCTCTTTCCCCTCCAAAAAAAACAAAAAAAAAAAATCACCCAAATTTTCTGAAAGCACCAAAGTGTTCCTTAAGCAAAACAGCGATTCGGAAAAGGCAAAAAGACATTTTCCCCGCAAATCTTGATAGGTTTCGTGCACAAAATGCAGCCATACAAAAAGGCCCCTTTTTAAAAACAATAAAAAAAGCGGAAATTTCAACCAGCTTTATCAGCAAACGGTGGAGCAAAGCGTGTGGGACTGGAAGCAAGAGCGGCACACCCAGCCAGCATCACTAGGAGCCAGTTTGGAGTTAATTTTCCTTCACATACGATTCGGAGATGCCAAGTTGTAGAGCTAAACTTCTCCAGTGGGGTCTACATAAACTAATTCAGGTTTGTTTTTTGGTTTTTTGTGTTTTTTTTTTCTTTTTCCTCACTGTGATAAAACTCTCTGCTGGCATAACAGAAACAAACACACACAATATTGCAATACTGAGACCATCTTAGAGCTTAAGACTATTTAAAAAAAAAAAAAATACTGGCACAAAATTTAATAAAATAAAACTTTAACAAATTTAAAAAAAAAAAAAATTCTTGATCCCTCCTAGCAAATATTCTGTCTTTTGTAGAAAAGATGACAACCAACAGAAAGGTGATATAACAAGAATGACAAACAGTTCTTGGTTTTTTCCTATATTGCCCCTCCCCGAAGCAGGAATATTCACCCACTTTGGTTTTCCCTCTCCACCCCCAAAAAAAGTTTTAAATCCTCGGGAATACTGTCATTTCCTGAACTGTCAGTTTGTGTGCGAATAATACAAAAAATGAAGGGATTCATTTGATAACATTTTTTCTAAACAGCAAGGGATGGGGAGGGGTTTGTTGGTTTGGGTTTTTTTAAGTGAGCTACATTTTTCTGGCTTTCTTAAAACTCAGAATTTCACCCCAAAAAAGCCTGTCTTGGAGCTTTCAGGAAAAAAAAAAAAAAGGCCCATCCTTCTCCGAACCAAACTTTTTAGGTTTCGGCCAAAAGTTTGCCTCCTCTGCCACCCTCTCTCCCAACAACCTCAACGCATCAAATCTGAGTTGCTCTTTAAAAAAAAAAAAATAAAAAATTAACAAACAACAAAAACAACAGCAAAAATAAAACAGAACCAACAGAAAGAAGTCCCATTGACTCTCCAAAATGACACAGGGTGATCCTCCACCCAGGCTGACCACCTTCACTCGTCGGCATCTGGCTTGACGTCCAGCATGGCGTGGAGCTCCTCGGGCGTGTAACCCAGCAGGCTTTGCAGATCGCAGACAAAACGGTAGACGTAGCGTTTTCCGGCCGTCTTGTGGATGATGTTCTTGTCGTAGTAGTAGCGCAAGCCGCGGCTCAGCTTCTCGTAGTTCATCTTGGGTTTGTTTTTCCTCTTGCCCCATCGCCTGGCCACCTGGGAGAGGGGTGAGGAGAGTCAAGGGGGAGGATGCATGTCGCAGGGAAGGGAAGGAAAAATCGATCTGGCTCGGTTGGGCAGCCGTCGGCAAGTGGCAGTGCCGGACACAAGGGAAAGGAGAGGACTTTCCTCGTCTTTAATGTGGACGCAGATGCGTCACAAGCATTAACATTTGGGAAAACCAACCTTCATGCAGTGGCAGAACATTGCCGAGGACTCTAGGAGGATACATAAGTCAGGGAAGGGAACGAATGTCCCATCTGTTCCCCAAAATCAGTGGGAAGTCCCCCCTCTCACCTGTACACATCCTATTTGAAGAGCTTTGGCACTACGCCTCTCTCTACGCCTCTCCCATCAACTTTGGGCACAAATTACTGCTTCCTAGGTATTACTGCCGCCCAATTTTTAACAAGTTTTCAGCTGGGCTCTAATTAATTGATTTCCCCTACACACACACAAGACCAGAACAACACGACTGCCCAAATCTCAGCCTTGAAGGGAAGAAGGGAGGGTTATCCACACCAGTATTTCAGAGGAATTTGGGCTGTGTACTTAATACCAGGGCACTCTACCTCGTCTGGGTCGGAAAGTTTGAATTCCCAGCCATCGCCTGTCCAGCTGATGAAGGACTGACAGGACTTGTCAGTGAGCAGTTTAGGAATTGCCACAGTTGGATGGGTCCACTGCCTAGAAAGACAAAGGAAACATGAGACATCAATGCCAGGAAAAGCACAGCCATTTCTACCCCAGAGGGGGGGAAAAAAAAAATCACATGCAAACGGTGTTCACTAAAAAAAACCAACTTTCTGCTATCAAAAAAAATAAGGCATCAGCGGCCACAGGGCAAGATCTGGGCCGAGATGACAGCTTGAGAGTTAAAACCTGCAGGTAAAAGAGCTTCCTATTTGCAGTAAGAGCTGAATATTCATGCACTGGAATGCTTCACTTCGAGTTACATAAATAGGATTATTTTTCTGGCACCCAAACAGCGAGGAGTCATTGTCTTGGCACAAAAGCACCATCATTTCCTCCGTGCCAAAAAGCTGCTGGCCATCACATGAACTCCGGCAGACTCCCGCTTCCCAACCTTGACTCTTTGCTCCGTCGCTGTTTACCGAGATAAGGGGGGGGACCCAGGTATGAAAATTATTTGGCCTCTTTCCAGGGCGTGTTGCTGCAGGAACGGGCTACGTCGGCTCGCAGAGCTCAGTGTGGGGAAGGCAGGAGCTGGCTGGCTCGGCAGACAGATTTCACCGGCTCAGGACCGGTGGATCTCCCCATCACGCTCTTGGCACGGTCTTAGCAAAGCCATAAGGAAATCTCCCTGCGGTTGCTGGTTCCCCTAATCCAGCCGGAGAAGCACGAGGCGGTGCGCAGCATCCCGTGCCACGTACATTCAGCCTCTCCTTACAAGGTCGCGATCTCTTATCTTTCCCTTGGGTGTTAATTTTGGCCAACAGTGATTTGCCTCGGGGTCCTGAGCCCGACACATCTGACCTGCAGTACCCGGTGCACCCGACTGAGAGCCTGCGGCTTTGCAGCCTGGTTTCGGCTGGATTAATGGTGTACATGGAGCGATTTCGAAATATTTATCTCTTCTTTGTGCTTGTGTCCTAATCAAAGGTAGAGGAGAAGCCTTCAAGCCAAAATCTCTTTGATGAGCAACTTCCAAACGCGGCCGCACCCAAAATATTGCACTTAGCTCTGGGCAACATGTTTCAGGAGAGATTTTGCCATGTTTTAAACGCAGCTTAGAATTTATCGCTAATACTAAGAATGACAATAGTAATAACAAACAGAGCCAGAGGTTAGGGGAAATGATTTATCACAAAAAGAATTGCACAGGCTGGATTAAGACGGCAGGCTGGGGTAAACCCGCCTGCTGACAGCAACGAGCACAAGCTTCAAGCAAGGGAAAAGAGTTATGTAGTCAGAAAAAGGGATGGAGAACAGCCTATTTCCATGAATAACAATGAAGGCTGTCAGAGCTGTGGCTGAGGGATAACCCGCGGAGAGAAGAGAGGGCTCTTCCCCCTTTTCCACAAGGTTTAAAATGACTCAAAAGCAGACAAGCTGCTGGGGAGGAGGAAATGAGAAAGCTGGCTCCAGGACAGGGGAATCGCTGTGCCCCGTCCGGCCCTCCCCAAATTGTTTCGCTCCTGTTATCCTTAAGGAACTGCTTCAGGGTTTTGCAGGCACTGGGTCCTCCGCCAAGCCCTGGGGGTTATCGCACAGCGACGGGCAGGGGAAAGCAGGGAGCTCACAGCATCTCTCTGCTTGTAAATGGGAGGACAACGCTCAGCGGGGAAAGGCTCCAGCCCGCCGTTCTCGGGAGAAGCTTGCCAAGATGTTGACTCGATGAATGCGCTCTCTGGTAGGGCTGGAGTTAGGTTAGCCACGCCAAAACGAGGGAGGAAATTCAGATGATGCCTTTGCTTCTCATTCGAAAGGGAAGAGCCAAAACCCTGGCCTGAAATGCCACCGCATCTCAAAGCTTAGATCTATTTATAGCAGCGAGCTTTAAATACAGAGAAAACATTGGGCAAAAAGGTTACTTCAGCTGCCCGAGGTCCTCCACGGGGAATCGCAGGTGAATTCACATGGGGTCGGTTTCTCTTGGCCCATTTGACTTTACACCAATTCCCTACGTACCTGCAGAGAGCATCCAACACTCAGATCAGGTTAACAGAGAAACAATCCTAGCAGACAAGCCTGAGCCAAGACCAGGTTCGTCACCTCGCATGGATTTCTCTCCTGCCCAACCAACGAACAAGGATTTTTTTTCATTCTTTCCCCAAAATAAGATGGATGGATGGAAACCCACCACCTAGGCACCAGGTTCTTGGGTAAGCAACTGCCCTCAAAATACCCCTGGTCCACCCTGGCTCTGCGGGAACCTGTCATGGTTCTACTGTCATTAACCCCGAGCCAAGCAGCCGGCGCAGTTCCCGCTTGGTGCTCGCAGCTCGGCTGCCAGCTGGCATGGAGAGGTGTCGGGAAACCCAGCAATTTCTCGCCTTCTCTCTAGCAAGCGAGGTAGGTCTC